TCTGTGACATTGGGGTCTGGAAAATGGCTCTGGGGACAGGACTGATTCTTCTGGCCGGTGGCAGAGAGTCCCCAGTGCCTGCACATGGCTGCTGTGTCCCAGGGAGGTTTGGACAAATGAGGCAGAGAGGGCAGGACTGGATCTGTGTGTGGCTGGGCACTAGCAAATTGCAGGGTTCAGGAATGTTTTTTCAGGATCCCTCTCCCAGTTTGAATGTGGAACTTTGGCTTCTTTACTGGATCTGGCCCTTTCCCATCCCTTCCTTGAGGAGATTCCCGGTGGGTGGGAGCTGTGATCTGTCTGGAAGGACTCACATGCTCTGTTGGTGTGGAGAGCTGGGCCCATGGGGCTTCAGCTGCCCAGACACCAGGAAACCTCCCAGCTGCTGCAGGTCTCGCTCTGCCGGGCACTGTCAGCCTTCCCTGCCAGACATACACGTCCTCCATGTAAGATCCAGTTATTTTTGGATTTCTTTGAAGCAAACAGCATTTAGCATATGTCATCTTATATGTATGTCAGCATCAGCGTTAGAACATCTTCTCCAAGGAGAAGGTTCTTGGGAAATGTTGTTCTGTTTCTGCCAAGCCTGAAATCAGGTGAGGGGCATTGTATGCTGTGGACATGAGGAAAGGTGATGCTGCCCCAGAGATTTTGTGGTTGATGTGGTGCAAGGAATGCCTGGATCCAGGGGGAGAGCAGTTGGAAAACATGTCAACCTATTATTTAAAAAAATTGTTTTTTTAAGCCATTTTTTGGTCTTCCCTAACAAAGAGGTGAGGGACTGTTGGATTTTAAGGTTCCAGATGCAGGACACTTGTGTCTGTGGAATTGCTGAGAATGTTGGCTCATCCATATGTTCCCACATGGAGGAGAGGTGCATGCATGGGAGGGGGATGTGGAGGACTGGGGTATCATTCCCAGTATAACTCCTGATCTTGCTCTGGCCAGCTTGCTTGGTTTTCCTCCTTAGCTTGTTCTTCCTCCTGTCCCAGCAAACCCTCTCTGGGATGCCTGCAGCACTGGGCCCTGGCTGAGTCCATGGCTCTTCCAGCAGGTCCCACCTGTAACCCCTGGTCACTCAATCAGATCCTGTATTTTGGAACCCCCAAGGAGAAGTGAGGGAGGCTCTGCAAGGGACTGGGGGCCCCACCAGCAGCCCCCCAACTCAGGGCATAGGAGAGGCTGCACTTTAATCCCATCTCCCTGCTCTGGCATCCCGGCATCCTGCTGCCAACAGAGCTCCCGTTGTTTACCCAACTCAGAGGAATCGGTTTACAAGGCTCACAAATCCCCTTTTCACCTTTCCCATCAGAAAACACCTCCCGAAACAATGAGGAAATTGGACGCTGCCACCTGATCGCTCCCAAGGAACCTGCGGGGCTGGGAGCTGGGGGCCTGCAGGCGCTGGGGATGGGGACGCCTGGCTGGGATGGTCCCCTGGCTCTGCAGGTGGCCAGCCACTGATGCCACCCAAAAATCACCTCAGGGACTCTAAGGGATGAAGCTGCCAGCCCTCTCCACCTGCTCAGCTGGCAAAAAAATACTTGTTTTAAGCTTTAGTGGCTGTAGTTAATCATTCCCACCCCCTGGACACCAGGAAAAATGATGCTGGGATGTTAGCTGTGAACTGGGGATGGTGGCAATCACAGGATGCCAGAATGGTTTGGGTTGGAAGGGACCTTAAAGCTCATCCAGTTCCACCCACTGCCATGAGCAGGGACACCTTCCACTATGCCAGGTTGCTCCAAGCCCTATCCAACTTGGCCTCGGACACTTCAGGAATGGGGCAGGAATAAAGCTGGAGCCATTATCCTCCTCCTCCTGCATGGTGAGCAAGGTAGAGGAGAGTGATTCTTAATGCTGAGAGTTGTTCCAGCCTTAAGGTTGAGCTAAGTTTTAGTTTTTCTGTTTTTTTAACCCGTCCCACCTTAAAACAGGGAAATCAAGCTGTGTTTTCCAGAGGAACAGCAGATTCCCCCTTCCCTCCCTGAAATTACAGTGGGTGCTCTGAGGGCACGATGAATTTCCCTGGTAATTTAAGAGTTGCTCTGTTCACTCCTCCGGGTTAAGATAAATCTGAAGACATGTCCTTGTGAAGACAAGTCAAGAGTGTAATTCCTTTTTGTCTTCAACCATCCCTTGGAACTAAAATACCTCGTCTCCAGTACTGGCTGAAATCCTGTGTTCAGGCAGCATGTGACAATTTTTGGACATTTTTTTCCTCTCCTTTTCTTGTGATAAATGTTGCTTTTCACTGTGTATTTTAAAGGAGAATTTCCCAGAGAACCAGCCTCTGGCATAGTGGGAGCTATTGTTGGTCTTCCCTAGGACGATCATCACAAGCTGTTCTTGTGACAAAGCAGAATTTTTGGGGGAAATAAAGGTCTCTGTGTGTGGTGAAAAGCTGGAAGAGCTGCGTGAGGGGTTTGAGATACATGCCTCAGGTTTATCTCTTCTCCTGTGCTGCCCAGGCTGTCATCTGGAAACGGCCCTGCTGTTAGAGAAGAGGGGAAATGGAGGAGAAAAAAATCAGGAAAATTGGAGGACACAGGGAAAACGATCTGTGTGCAGGTGGGGAACAGCAGTTGGAGGGAGCAGCGCAAAAGCTCCATGCACAGAGAAGTGGCTCTGTCTTGCTCCATGTTTGTGTGGATCTGGAAGATGTTGAGCTAATTCCCAGAAAGCAGCTGTGTGCTTCTGGAGCTGAGACTGAGTGTTTGTGGAAAGGATTTGCCTCCTTGTTTTATCCTTGCATAAACCTAAGGTAGGCCTTGGTCCTGAAGTTCCTGAGATGAAGAGGTGCCAGCAGGATGTGGTACTGGGAGGTTCTCAGCTCCCTCAGCTGCTTCGTGGCCCCTCCCCTGCTTACAAATCCATTTGGCCTGATCCCAACAGGCTGGTGGCCCAGGGACTGGTTGGTTTGCAGGTGTTGGCCAAGGTTTTGGCCACAGAGGTGTGATAGGTCCTCCTGGTATGGAGATGAGGGTGGATAGGAGCCTTCTCCTCCTGCTCCGGCGGTGCAAGACATCTGCTTGACTTGTTTGTGGCTTCCTGTTTGGCATCTTCTGGGCAGGAGGGAGCTGGCAGGAGCTGGAGGAGGGAGCTTGAGTCACTCCAGAATCCTGTGCCAGGAAGCCTCTGACTCAGCCCAACCGTGGAGAAAGGAGTGTGGGATCCAGCTGCCTCTCGGGGTGGGAACCCGTGCAAGTGTTCACTTGCGCTGCGTGTCTGCGGCCGGGCGGGGAGGGAGGGACAGGGGCTGCTCCCGCCTCCTGCTCCTGCTCCGGCCTTGCATCAGGGCTCTGGCCGTGGGTGGGGAAGCCTTTATCGCTCCCAAGCCTTTGGAAGTGCCTGCTGGCCACTGGCCAGGTGACCTACTTGGTGGTGTGAAGCAAAGCATGGCTCACCTGAAGGCAGTGCCTGGATGGAGGCGGGCTCTGCATCCCACCTGCATCCCTAAAGACCCTCCAGGGGCCAAGTTTCCCACTGTCTCCTGGTCACCATCTGCCTGAATCATGGCTTGTACAAAATTCCCTGCAACCTCACATGGCCAAGGTGCTGCTGTGCCACTGGTACTGGGGTTGGGATGATCCTAGCTGCCCCATTGTGCTGCTTTGGGTACTACTGGAGCTGATGTGGAGCTGCAGCCAGGCAGGGAGGATGGACCCGTAACCCCTCTAAATCCAGCTCTGTGATGGAGCTGTGCCCGCCATCCCTGTGCCGTGCTCTGGCTGCCTGGGATGCTCCTCTGACCTGGCAAGCTGCAGGCGAGGTGCAGATGATGTCTGCATGTCTGCCCTGCTACTACAGCTGGCATTGAGCTCCAGAGCTTGTGCCAAGGGCACTTGGGGGTGCGTGGGCTTCGGCTCCGCCTGCCTGCTCCAGCCCAGCCTGTGGATCTGCTATGCTCCTGCAGCCAAGGGCCTGGTGCTGGTTCCAGCTCTGTGGCTTCTTGCTAAGACTTGCACGGAGCCACAGAGCAGGTTGGTCTTGTGTGTTTGATCTTCCTTCCATGGAGCCTGCAGCTCCAGCTGGAGCAGCTGGCTGGGGGAGGAGGTATCCCAGCCCCATCCAGTCTCCAGGGTGGGCTGGCACAGGGATGGGCTGTGTCCAACAGCAGAAGGGGAAGCGTGGCCGTGCGGCCTTGGCAAAGTGCTCACTTTGCGTTTGCCATGCCCAGATTACGTGAGGGAGTTGCAGCAGAGATAACTCTGCAGGAAAATCCATTCCCACCTTATCTCCCATCAGGAACGCATTTAGTTGCCTACATCAAAGTAGATGATCTGCTGCTTCCCTCCTTGCTGCCCTAATCCTCTCCTTCACGCTGAAAAAACCCAATCAGTGCCTTGCCCCACCATAACGAGATCCGAATGTTAATTATCAGCATCTTGCCTTCCTACCCTTCCCAATGCCCTGCCTTCCAGCCCCGAATAGCTTTCCTCCCTCCTTGCTCCTCTCCATCCGGTCCTCCCACGCTCCTGGGCACGCTGTTGAGCCTGGCTCAGTAGAAGTTGTCCTGCAGGATGCTTCCTTCCCTTCCATTTAAGGACAAGAATTCCTCAGGGAGCTGGGGCGTGGACGGGATCCCTCCCTTCACCCCATTGTCAAGACTTCTCCCTATGCCTAATTATTGCCTGTCCCTGCAGGAAGCTCCTTGCCTGGCCGTCGGGCAGAGCCGTGGCGTCTCCCAGCCCTTTGTGGGAAGACTCATTCCCAGTTGGATGCCAGGCTTGGGGCCAGGAAAGGTGCCCACCCTTATCATGGCTGGCGAGCGGGACTGACCCAAGCCAGCCCTGATTTTGTCAGCAGGAGCCTGTGCTGGCTCCATGAACAGGCTGAGTTGGTGAGGGAAGAGGAGAACTTGTTTTCAGTGTCAAAACCTGTCTTACAGAGGGGGAGCAGCAGAGCTGAAGCACAAAAATGGTGTCAGAGTGGAGTGGGCTGGGCTGGTGTGGCCTCTGCTCCAGCACGTGGTAACCTCTTACCCTCCTCTCTTCCAGGTTCATGACTGGGAAGGGGCTGGTCATCTACCCAGAGATTGGGGATAAACTGGACATTATCTGCCCCAAGGCGGAGCCGTCCAAGCCTTACGAGTACTACAAGCTGTACCTGGTGAGGAAGGAGCAGGCGGATGCCTGCAGCACCGTCATGGACCCCAACGTGCTGGTGACGTGCAACCGGCCCGAGCAGGAGATCCGCTTCACCATCAAGTTCCAGGAGTTCAGCCCCAACTACATGGGCCTGGAATTCAAGCGGCAGCAGGATTACTTCATCACATGTGAGTCGCCCTCCTCTTCCTCGCTGCCAGCCCTGGCTCGGGAGGGCCCGGGTGCCTGGAGAGTGTCACCAGGCGCTTGTGTGTGACTTGGCTGGTGCAGAGAGCTGACACGGATGGAAAATATGTCCCGCTGGATGGGAGCAGGGGGAGGAATGTGTCACTGGCCGAGTGGGTCACCAGTCCCTATCTGGCTGCTGTGCTGTGTCCCCTGCCCTGCTCACGGCTGGGAGCAGGAGCACATCCCCATCTGGGGTCGGCCCTGGAGTGCTGCCCTATTTTTTGCTGCCATCTTTGCTGGAAGTGTTGCAGGGTTTTGCTTTGGGACTGGGGAGAAAGAGGAATGGTGATACTTTCCTTATTCCTGAGTGTTGCCTCCAAGAGCAGCCCCAGCACCGGGAAGTGCTGGTGGTGTCCAGTGTGTGATATGATCGAAATGGCTGAAAATTTCTGTGCACTGGCTTGTTCTGTTTGTGTCTTGGTGCACCATGGCATTTTATGGAGGGGAGAGAGAAGAGGCTGGAATTTTCTTGGAGCCTGTGGTGTGTGCGTGCAAGGGATTGCTGCTCAGAAATCTGTCCCCCTGTGCCTGCTCTGCTGTGGATGGAAGGGGAGCTCAGCCGTGTCTGCGCAGTGCTGCCAGCTCTCTCTTTGTCCCCTCCCCTCCCCGCCTGGCTGGGTGCACTGCAAAGGGCACGGTGGCCACGGCTCAGCTCCCTTTGCTGTGTGCTGTGGGCTTTGCGGCGAGCGGCTGGCACAGGGGTCACTGCCCGTGTGGGAGCGAGCTCCCAGCCCTGGAAGCCGTGTGCTCCCGGCTGGAAACATGGTATTTTTAGCCTGGAATCTTTGGGAGGGGGCAGCAAGGCCATGGCAGGCAGTGGAGACGGGGGTGCTGTGCTGTAACGTGGTGCTGTGGTGAGGCTGCTGGTCTGGATGTCCCCAGCGAGCCTGGCTGGGGCTGTTGGAATCCTGCTGCAGAATAATTTGGAATAAACCTGATGGAGAGGAAGCAGCCGCGCCTGGCTCTGGCAGGTCAGCCTTGAGCCCTCATCACTTCTGTCAGGACAAATTTGGCTGGGTGGTGACAGGGACTAGCAGGGGACTCTGTTACCTGTGTGGCTGTGGAGATGCCAAAGTGGCTTCTGCATGGTCAGCCAGGGAAGTTTCCCTAACAGGAGGGGTGACAGCAGGGACGACCTGGCACTACAACCTGCAGAGCCAGCTTGGCTCGGTGCTGGCAGCAACCATGGGCTCTGCAGGGCTGAGTCACTGTGGCAGGGCCAGGCTCTTCCAGAACAATGGTCACTGTCACTGTCCAGACATGGGGATGTCTGTCCTGTGTCATTTGACAGGCACCAGCTTTGAAGCCATTGTGGGCAGGACACTGGTTCCAGTCCAGATGCCCCAGATGGGCTGGGGATGCCAAAACCCCTGGCACAACTCCCATGTAGGCTCCCATCTCCCTTAGCACAGCTGCATCAGCCTGGTGGCTCTGGGATGGCAAAGTTCAGCCCTTCTGCCATCCTTCAGCTGATGGAAAGTTTGATTGAATATAAGCTTTGCCTGCAGTGGGCAAAAATTTGGAAGAGAAGCCAAAGTGCCAGACTTGGGTCAGCCAAGTATCTTGAAGCACTTGGTCGGTGGCTCCTCTGTGTTCAAGGGTCAAGTTCAAGCACTGACATGGTCATCAAGATAATGAGGGCTGAAATTGGGGTCCTCTGAGCTACAGCCCGTGGGACTCTCAGGCTGCAAAGAGCCCTCAAAGACAAATAGGCTCCCCAAAACAAGCTCAGGAGGTGAACAAAGTGCTGAGAAGAAGAAATATGGGATCCCTCTTATGGTAACCAAGTCCATCAGGAAGGTGGAGGCAGAAGGATTTACAGCCTCTGAATTACCCAAATTTTAAGGAGCTGTTTTGCATTTCACACAAAAACTGAAGTGAAAATCAACCTCCCGGAGCTTTGGGAGGTGCTTTCAGAGGCGGCCGCCGGTGCATTGCCGACTCCAAACGCGGCTCCCGCGGGGCCCCCGCAGCTTTGAGCCGGTGCCAGCTCCCCTGCACGGCTGCCAGCACACCTGGGTCACTGCAGGTGACCGGCTCCGGCTCGCTGCGGATCCGACGGCACACGCAGCGACGGCACACGCAGCCGGGATTTTGCAAAGACGGCGTAGCCCAGGTTGGGAAATCCCGGCTGTGCGTCCCGTTGGATGTTGGGCTGAGCCTTTTAAACTCATTTTTCAATGTAAAATCCTGTTTATCCTCTTGTTCCCAGTTTCAGGCTGTATAGGGATGCAGCGAGCGGGGTGTTTGGAGAATCCCTGTGGGATGCCCCCCCTCTCCTCAGGGGGCCGGCAGTGCCCTCTGCCCCTGCCTTGGACCGTTTCTGACTTTAATTTCTCTTGACTCCTCCAAGCTTTGATGCGAAACCCCTCGGAGCTGGGAGCTGCCAGCTGAACTTTGGCCCCTGGGTGGGCTGAGGATGCTCCTGTGATCTGGCCATACCCTCTGCTGAGCAGCCCCAGGAGTTCTTTCTGCCAAGAAATAAAATAGCCAAAAAAACAAAGTCAAAAGTCTCCTGAGCAGACCACCCACATGTTGTCTTTTCCCCCCCGCCCCAATTTTTCTCCCCTCCCTTTCCCCAAGCTTTGCCTGGACACACAAAAGGGTTTTTTTCTCCCTTTTCATTTCTAAGCCGGGGAAGCAGCGCTGGAGCCGAGGGGAGCAGGGCGTGTGCCACTCATCCCCCACCTTCCTCCGTGGCTGGAAAACCTCCTCACCGGAGCTGGAGGGCTTCCCAGGGTCCCTCTATTCAGGACTGCTCCTTGCCATCGCTTTGGATATGCCAAGCCTTGTTTAGGGATACTTTTATCACGGAGGGACACGGCCCCAGCCCTCGGCTTAGCAATGAAAAGGCTTTTGAAAGCTGCTGTTCCCTGTCCCCATCCTCTCTGGAGCCTCACACTGACCCCCTCCACACCAGCTCCAGGCTTTCCTTAAAAGCATCTTTGCTCCTGGGGATGGATAAAGGAAAGGTGATGCTTATTTCTAAAGCATTGCATAATGAACAAGATGCAGCAGCATCTGCCTGCAGGTCTACACTGGAGACAGAGGCTGGGGGGGGCACGAGGGACTCCAGCAGGACGTGGGCACCATCCCCAGGATGAAGTGCTTAGAGGGTGAAGGAGATGGGAATTTGGAAATTGTGTGTTTTATATCATGATGTGCTGTGGTTACTTCCATCCCTGGGTCTCCTGGGTGTTTCCCTGCTTGCCTTTGGTGTCTTGGCGTGATTCCCTTTCCCCAGTGTCCTGTGACCTCCCTTCAGAATACTTCCCACTGGAACAGCCTCCCCCCTGCCTGGTGCCTGCACTCCCGGGATGTCGTGGGCAGCTCCAGCCCCACCATGGCTTATCCAGCCCTGCAGGTTCAGCTCCCTCCACCTCCCCTCCTAACTCACTCCAGCTCCTAATTGCGTTTGCTGCTCCTCTTTGAACTTGCTCCAGTTTTACTATCTCTGGTAATGAGGTGCCTGGATAGAGATCCATTAATCCCCGTGTCCTGGCAGCAGGGTGACGTGAGGAGGAGCTCCTGGAGTGGCTCCCTGCTATTCGAGAGCTCTGGATCAGACAATCAAAGAATAGTTTGGGTTAGAAGGAACTGTTAAATGTCACCTAGTCCATACTTGGAAGTGTTCAAGGCCAGGTTGGATGGGGCTTGGAACAACCTGGTGTAGTGGAAGGTGTCCCTGCTTATGGCGGGGGATGAACTGGATAGACTCTAATAGTTCCCAGTTCCTTCTCTGGTTTTTGGGGCTGATGGTGGTCCTGGCAGCCCCTTCTGTATTCAGTGGGTTGTGGAGACCCCAGGCAAACCTCTCTCAGCCTCGGGGTGCACTCCAGGCAGCTGTTTGCAGATGTGGTGGTGGTGGTGCTGAGGTGTTCCTCCAGGTGTTCTTCCTCAGTGTCCAACCTGTCCCATGAGCCTCTTTAAAGCACAGAGCCCTTGTTTGATGACAATGCTGAAGGAAAAGCAAGGTCCTAGTAGATGTTTCCTCATAAATCCGACACATTTGCTGTTTATTGTGAGTCCTTAAGCCCTTCAATCCATTTTTGATGTAATAACGTCCGTAATCCAATCCAACGCTTTTTGGCAGCGGGATGCAGTGAGAGCGGATCTATTACCCTGAGTGTTGTGTTAAAGCCCTTGTCTTGCATTTCTGTTTTTAGATGCAATTAGTCTTAACCTGGCAAGAGTTATTTGTTGTAAACCATCACTGCTGCTGCGATGTGGCTTCGTCCCCGGGCCACGCTCCGTCAGCGTTTTCCTGCAGCTCAGTGTGAGGAAGGGGGTCACCTATACCCTGCCAGCTGCCAGGATCATCCTTCCTCCTCAGGAGCTTTTTTGGGACACGTTGCCATACTCGCTTTTCTGGCTGTGCTCCTCCAGCTTCCGTTGGTTTGGGAAGCCTTCAGCCCGTGCCAGTGCATGTGTGCAGAGTTGCATGTGCTCCTTCCTGCATTCCTTGGGATTTGATAATTCCCTCCCTGGTTCCTTGGGCTGGGGGCTGTGCCAGGGGGGGCTTTGTCAGCCTGCCAGCTCTTTGCTGATGCCATTTGAATGTGGCCACTTTCATGTGCTCCTCATGCTCCTTCCCACAACTTGTTTGGTGGAGGGGAGTTGAAAGCCCAAGGGCCGTTTGATGCCATGATGGGAGCTGTGAACTTCAGCTGATAAAACTCCAATTAAACGGCTTCCTCATTCTTCACCCAAAGAGGCCCGGCTTGTGACACACCCGGGCCAAGCAGAGCCGGCCTGGTGGCATCCATCTGGTTTTGGGGCTTTGCTCCTCCATCCCCGTTCCCATCCCTCTGGGAGCCGCTGGCAGGGGATGGTGATGCCGCGTGGGAGCCGCTGGCTGGACACAAATGGCTCTAACGGTGTCCTGCTCCCGACTTCAAAGCCCGGGCCCTGGCCATGTCAAACCCAAATAATGGCCCTTAGA